GTGAGATAGTTGACTAGAAGAACCAGTCATATGATTTGAGGCTCCAGAATCAATAATCCATGGGCTGAAAGTGGAAGACAATAAATAAGCATATGTCATACCTGACTGAGCGAAAGTTACGGTGGAATGGCTCAGTGCCTGTTTATGGGACATAAATTAAGCATACTCATCTCAGGAGACGGTGATAAGGTCATTAGGAATAGACTGAGCAAGACTAGATGGAACATCATTCTGAGAAGAGACTTGATGAACCGAGATAAGAGGTTTGCCATAAAAATCCCAACAATACACAATTGTTTGCTAGCTATGACCACAATGAGTGAACCTACGAGTGTCCCGACCTCCTCTTCCATTATGCACCCCATGAGAACTACCAGATCCACCATGTATGCCACGACCTTTCGTCCGCCACGACCTCCACGAGAACTACCAAAACCATGCTAAGAGACAACTAACGTTGATCGATCACTAATGGTATCAACACTTGACCAAGATGTAACATGGAAGAGGGTAGCACATTGAAGACGAGAGAACACATCTAGAAGAGAAGGCAATTGAGGACTGCCCAAAATCTGTGTACAAATAGGTTCATAGTCGGACCGTATCCTAGTCAAAAAACGAACAACATCAACATCATCACGTTGTTGTTCCATCACAAAAACATCATAAATGATAGGCTGATACAACTTCCGTTCCTCACATATTTCCATAACCCGAGAAAAATACTCTTCCAAAGTCAAGCTACCTTGCTCAAGACTGAAATACTATTGACACACCTCATAAATACGGGTGACATTACTAGTACCAGAATACATGTGAGTCAGACGATCCTAAATCTCCTTGACAGTATCCAAATACAGTAAGAAGAATTGATGTGAAGCTCAACACTAGTCAGTAAGAGGGAAATAATCTGTACATCTGTCTGTTCCCATTGGTTAAAACCAGAATCACTAACTATGGGCTTAGCTTCAACAAGGTAGCTACGAAGGCCTTTACCCTTATGACAAAATCAACAGATCTTGCCCACAATACATAATTACTCTCATTTAATTTGACAGAGGTCATTTAATTGGGTGGAGGAACAAGATTATAGGAGTAGCACTAGGAGTGGGAGACGTAGTATCTACATTAGGATTCATGTTTGGAGAGAAATAAGGCAAGAAGAAGCTGCCACACGAACTGCTAGGCAGAAATAGAGCCCAAGAGAAGCTGAACCGGCTGGACAACAGTTGGAACCGCAGGAGAAGTTGTTGAACCAGCCCAAAGAGGTCTGAACCAGGGGAAAAGAAAGCAGAACTGGCCTAGGAAAGGCTGAACTGGTGGGAACCGAGGCAGAAACCGTCCTGCAGTGGATTGAACCGGCGGTGAAGCTTCCTGAACCGGACCAGAGGACACCCTGACAGCCTGAACCGGAGTCTGAACTGAACCAGTTGAAAGGAAAGGAACTGAACTGGTTCAGTTGAGCTGAACCGGTTTGGTTTGACAGGATCAACTGCTGGACTGGGCCTGGACGTCTAAATGGGTTGCTTGACTGGACTTCGTGGAATTGGGCTTAATCAGATGTGGTTCTAACCCATTGGCCTTATCCAAATGAGGAATAGGAATAAGCCACAGCTGGAGAGATCCCACACTGGTAGCCAAACAAGGATCTTCCCCTTCAAACCGAGTGTGAGTAGGGAAAAGAGGAACTCCACTGCCACCAGAGAAACCGAAACAACGCCAGCAACAACACCCAATCAACACCAGAGCAACACCAATATCACCCTAATCAAACCAAAGCCATTGGAACAACGATCAACACGACACGCAAAGCAGATCAACACCGATCAACACAACTCGCAACAGGCAGCGACACCAACCCGAATCATGGCAACAACCATTCGAACACCGTCAACTTCATCAACAGTAGAAGCAACACAACACAATACCAAACCAAGCCATCGACAAACACACTGTCGAGCCAAAAGGTTAAATATTTTTTTTATTTTATGCAAGGGAAAAGAAAGGAGAGGCAAGGACCGAAAAACCCTAATAAGTTTGCTCTGATACCATGTAGAGAGAGAGAGAGAGAGAAAGAATAGGAAGAAGGTAACCTACCTTCTCTTTCATCTCATATATATATATGTATCTCAATATAACTAAAGACTACTTTATCCCTCTTAGGATATACTTATTACATCGATGTCATTCTATACATTCTTATTCTAACAAAATTCAACCTGCAATTTCAAATGAATGCATTTATTTAACATTCATCAGCTCCCACATTGAAAATAATGTAAGGAACAAAAAATCAATTTCATTTTTTTCAAACAAAAATCAATTAAATACAACCCCAAGCATACTTCCACACAAATGCGAGTGTATGAGTGAGCAAACTCAGTTATGAGCTCATACATGTCTAGTTTAATTGTTTTGAGATCCATTACCATTATCAACATCACTTATCCGAAGAGCACAACCAAATATGTACTTAGTTATCTTCATGGTCTAAATATGTACAGAGAAAATGCAAGACTTAGTATTCAACTCCCATCATTGTGTTTGTGGGAAAATAATAATGAATTAGATCAAATAATCATACTGAAAATCTCAAAGGCATTTTATCAAATAGCTAGCAGGCGGGTTTGAGAGGGACAACTTATCAAATTGCTAGCATGCGGGCGAGTTTGAGAACTTTAAAAGAAGTAAAAATTTTACTTTCATGGCCACCATGGAGCTTTACGACAAAAATATGATGTCAAATATCCATGAGTCACTTTTCAAAAAAAAAAAATATCCATGAGTCTATCATACACATACCCAAACCCACCTTCGACAGAACAATTGAATAAATATTTAAGTCAAACAAATCCAAACCAAATATATTCACCTCACTAAAGAAATATTACAAACACATAGATGTAATTTATCTATTGTGACTAAATACACATGACTAACTTGGTTAGGAATGGTAGAAGATTAGATCATCAATAAATATCAGTTGTATTTGAAAATTGTTCTCTGAAATCTCTCTTATCATATCTTCTCCTATCTTTGTGTTCACAAATCCAAGAGTTAATCTCTCAAATTTACAGCCTCATCGCATTGTTAGCATTGTATCCCAGCTACTGCAATTGAATAACATGTTCCATCAAACTCATGCCTCTTACTCAATTTGCAAACTGGCCATTGTCATCACTTCCAACAAACTCATGCTTAATTATTGATTCAGACCACAAACTATGCTGCCCATGAATTAATAATCAAAAACTCAATAACCAAAAATTACATGAAAAGGCAAAACCTTGAATGTAAGAAATTGAACCCAAAACTTGCAAATAAAATCTTGGAAAACCCAAAACTAAGATTCAATTATCAAAAGGAACCACGAATGTGAGAAATTGAAGATTCAAATATGTAATATTTGGCAAGTATAGCAGAATCACAAAATTGAAAAATGGGAAGCACAAACACTCTAAACAAGAATCAAGTCTACATAAAATCACAGTTTCGATATTTACAAAATAATCCGCCGACAGCACAACAAAAATGAGAACTACAATACTAAAACAACTACTTTATCCCAATAGACTCAAACCAACAAATTTCTAGAAATTGCATTAATAAATTATTACCTCTACCAGTTGAAACAACAAATAAACATATTAAAATAGCCACCTTTAAACCTCCTTCTCCCATTCATAACCTGAAAAATATGAATAAAAAAAATTAGTGTTGCAAATACGTAGGTTAAGAATCTTTAAGAATAATGTGTGTAGGGGGGTTGAGCCCTAAAGCCCACTCCTGGGCTAACTCCGCACTCCATCCCACTCTTTCCAAGGATTCTAAATCACTATAGGGCTTACCTATAATTAGAATATGAGGTGACCCAGAATGAGATTGAACACATAAATTAGTATATGTAATGGAACTAATTATGCAAACCATCAAATACGTGGTGGGTGCTGATTATATGAAGGGGTGGAGGCAAAGGAGAAAGGGGGTGTGGTGGTGATGGCGATGGTTGTGGTTTTGGCGGGGCTTGTGCAGTGAGGGTGTAGGTATGGGTGTGTTGACAAAAATGTAAAAGGTTTTGGAGTGTGTTGTGAGAGGTTTCAAAGAGACAACCAGAGAGGGAAGCTATAGAGAGGGAGGAGAGAAATGGGTGAGACAATGAGAAAATGGTGTGGGTGGGTGAAATACACAGGGTTTGGGGTGATTTGTGTGTAGAGAGGATGAGAGGAATTTTTTTTTTTTTAGGGGGGGGAGAGGAGGGAGGAAGAAAACTTCCTTAGAATGACAACGATGTTGTGGCGCTGGCATTGCCCTTCTCTTGGAAATTCGATAATAACCAAAAGAATATCAATTATCATTAACGATGGTTTGCTTCAACTGAGATGGGGTGGGAGAACAGAGAAGAGGGAGAGAGAGACAAAGGCAGAGGAGCAAAGAGAGGGTGAGAGAATAGAAAAAGAGAAGCAGAGATATGAGGGAGATGGGGGCAAAGAGAAGGGTGAGGGAAAAGAGATAAGACACGTGAGAGAAGGATTTTGAGTGATTTTAACCTTTGGATCAATTTTAGATCTTTGGGATTGGGGATTGGATGTGATATATATGAGGGGGGAATTTTTTGGGAGTGATTTTAGACCGTGGATCAATGTTTTTAAACAAATCTGAACCGTCGTTGTTTTCCAACTTTAAGATTCAAAAACACCACTATTTTATTTATAGATATGACCATAGATTACTTTATAGTTGAACATACTTCGATTTTTTTTAACAACATTTTTATTAAAAAAATGCTTCTTAAAGCATTACCAAGTGGTTATAAGAAACCCGATACAATTTGAATATACAATCTTAGATTGATTTGTGTAATTTAGAGTGTCAATTATATTATTGCAACTCCTCTTTTTGAATCGAAATGAGATAACACCAAGTGAGACAAGTTTTTAACGATATATATTTATCTAATATTACAGTTGGAAACTTAAATTCTCAACTTATAAAAACACACCAATGGTCAAAATTAATCCAATCTCCATCTACTTTAATACAATGCTATAAAATTCCTCTCAAAAAAATTTTCCTCACCCAAAAACATCAACTTCTGTGTGAGACCCCTAATGCCAGACAATTCAATCAACATACTCTTCAATATCAAACAATCTCATCAATCCATACCTATCTCTTTCTTCATTTTAATTTAAATTGCATAATTAGAAAAATAATATTGTAAGATCAATTCGATTTTTGATATTGTATAGTATCTTTAGACACAAGGTTATTCTAGTAGCAATATATTACAAGGGGTCCTCTTTAGTATTTCGAAAAATTTAGGGGCACTTTACAAAGAACGTTAAATTCTCTGACTCAATAAAAAATGACCATTTTAAAGTCAGACTTCTCTGGCTCAATAAAAATTGACCATTTTAAAGTATCTCTGACTCAGTAAAAAAGAAAAATACAGCTTTTCAAGTATGCAATTTGACTCTTTCTGATCAACATATGTCATACACCGTTATGTTTTTTTGTTTTTTTTGTGTGTGGTCTGATCATACACCCTTATGTTGATACACAGTTTTCATGTTATAAACTTAAGCATGAACATCAATGGAAACAGGAATGCAGCATTTTTTCCAGCCAGAATTTGACAGCGATGGGTCACAGAACAATGATCACTGATGAGGTTCATATTGTTCTATTCAAGATGAAGGAAACATACACAATTTGCACATGCTGTTTGTTGAACATTATGCTATCAACTGCTTCAACATTCCGCAATGCTGCATGGTTCGATCAGAGAAAGGCAGGTATAGTCTGTGCGATGTGCTCATATAGTAACATATTCAAGATTTCAAAATTATTTAAACTTATCAAAAGTCGCAGTTAATGGATTATTGGAAATATAGATGAAAATAGGGGGGAAATTCAAGATATTTTGGCCAACAAAACAGTTAATGATAGGATATCTAAGGGAAAGGTAAAGGCAATGCATGTAGAATGTGTAAAAGCTAAGGTCTTTTCCTGCAATAATTCAGAATAATTTGGAAAATTCTGGGAATAAATTTGGAATTTTTTGTGCCTGAAAGTAATTTGGAATTTTTGAAATATGCAAGATGTATTCCAGATTCTCTCAGCAGATAAAAATAAAGTTGGAAATTTTGTTACTATGATTGTGCTCAGGCAAATAATCAAAAAAACCTAAATCGCAAAAAGCTGAGGTGTGTAAAATGGGCAGATGATAACTCCAGTTGTACCTCATTTAAAACAATGGTGATGCAGCCTTGGTTCTACTCTGAAAGTCCTCCTTCCACAGTTTCCAAGCATTCCGTACCTCATCCAGTTGTGCCTCTGGAATGCTGGTGTTTGTGTCCAATTTTTCAACCCAGTCCTTCCAAGGAGATTTTGTAGGGTCCAAGAATTTAGAAACTTGAGGCAACATTACAGAATTGTAGAACTCATCTACAACGTCAAGAATTTCTACTGATTCCATTAACGTTAGCATCTCAGGCCTCACAACATTGCCAGGTTGATTTCTCAACACAAAATTGTTCCCCCTCAAAATCAAAACTTCAGATGGAGCAAGGGGTAGAACAATGCGTGAGAACTTGTTCAGCGACAACTTCAATATATCTCTTGGAAGCAATTTACGTTTTACTGCCACAGCGGTCCCTACCATTTTACGGATCTGGTCAGGACCAAAATGTCACGTTAGAATACAAATGTAGAACAAATAACTAAAAGCACAAAAACTCTTCCTTTTTTCCCTCTTTTTTATTCTATCCACCTACCAAGCATCCAAATGATTTAAGTCTACATCCTTTGCCATGGTTCTGAGACCTCTGTGTGCATATATGTGCTTGTATTATGTGCAAACACCACTTAATAGTCAGAGAAATGACACTAATTCATTTAGTCATCTAAGTTCTTTCCACAATGATCTTGATAAATGACACTTTAATAAATAAGCCAGAGCAAATATACAGTAATCCCAAAAATGCAGCATACCAACTCTTATAGTACTTAGAATTGATAATAATGACTAAAAAAGCCTCGAGAATAATTTTTATGTTCTTGTTCACGAGGGCTGGGACACGAGTGGAACTGGAGGTCAGTAATGAACTCCATACATGTCATAGTCATACACATACTATCACAGGTCCCTTCTGCTGGAAAACATAAAGAAGAGACTCCTGCATTTAAGCACCTAGCCAAAACAATTCTATGTTTATGTTTGTGACGTAGCTCTCAGAATTCATAGAACAACTAAACTATCACAAGTCCCAAGGGCACTAGTACCTTAGTTGACAAAATTCTTTCATAATGTGTATTAATTATTCGATTTTGTCTGTTCAGGCAATAACTTTAGCTATAAAAGCAATAATCGTGCATCATCGATTCTGTTCAAAAAAGCCTTAGTATTAATAGTTTTTCCACTTAGTTAATCGCACCCTTTCATTGTTTTCTCTGCATCCAGACTTTACATGTAAGTGGTAAGTCTAAAAGGCTCGTAATAGAGATGGTTCTCCTGTTTATTGCGCCCACACTGCAGTACTGAATTCGATATCCGGACAAGATGACGAGTAAGGATACAATCATTGAGTGATGTCGTGAGAAACTTACTTGATGCAACATGAATGATTCTCCGCATATGGAGATCTCTACATAATTCATTGCAAGCAAACGCTCCACCTTTCCACAAGAACAGCCAAAAATCTTCCTGAAATGAGAGGCACTTAGTCTATCTGTCTCATCAGGTTCATATAGCCATCTTGCACGAATGGCTAGCGGGGGAGTTTGACTATTTAAAACATTCCCTTGCTCATCACAAGTGCCCACTCGATGGTCATAAGAAGTAATGGACTCTGACAAATCACAGCCCTTTCCCTGAACATTGGTTGCAACTCCTTCATTAGCTCCTGTAGTTTCTTCTCCATCACTTTCCCCATACTCAGAGTATGATGCCATACTAGATGACCTTTCTTTTTTAGACACACGGCCATTTCCATGAGATTGCTTTGCAGGAAACTGTTTCCTATACTTGGATCGTACAGTATAGTTATGGAATGGATGTTCTCCCTGTAATGCCAATCATAACTCATAAATACTACTGGGGTGAACAAATGATCCCCATTGTATGTATTCTTTGTAAAGACTATGAATTATGGCTAGAAAAGTTAAGCTACTCGACAATTACACCGGTTCTTTTGCAACTAACATGAATAACCTGATCAACACCCCTTATCAATTATCAAGATTCACACAATATGATCACTCTTTCTTCCATTTGTGATGATTCCTATAGCTTTCGAAAGTACAAAATGGCAATTTCAGAAAGGAGAATCTAAAACTGTAAAATGGTAGTTTTACTTTACTAGATTGCATGATAAATGAACCCAAAGATCTTGGTACCCAGGGATTTTCAGGCAGCTAACATTTTATACAGAAATTTCCAGACCAAAACACAACTCAGCCAGGTTCCAGAAAAGAAGTGATGGCACCAGGAAAAAGAGAGAAAACTGTAACAAAATAAAAACATACCTCAAAAGAATTCAATATATTGTTGAAATCTGATAAATGGTTATCGATTTCACCTGCAGGTAAGTGACTTTTTATTCCAATAATATCAGCAGGAAGGAGATAAGAATACTTGCGGATGTTACATTCCCTTCTAGGATCAAAGCTCCTGAAAACATATGACCAAACAAATGAAATAAGTAACGTAATGGAAAAGTAGGATGGGTATACAATAATAAGCGCTACATTGGTGGTCATTCTAAATTTTTTCCCCAGACAAGATTTGTTGACTTATTTGACTCCATTTCAAAAGACTAGAGAGACAAAATTCGTTATAATCAAAGCCTTCATATTGAAGTTAGTGAATATTAGCAAAACACATATCCGAGATACACAAAACCCAAAATTCCCCGCTTCTGATCATTTCATTGCTTGAATTTCAACTTTTCTACCTTGGATATGTGTGATAGGGGACAAACTTTTTTGGGAATGGAAAAAAAAGAATTAACATATGGAGAGTAACACAATTCATGAAAAACCATAGCAAGTGAGGGGATTCTCTAAAAGACAAAGAAATTGTGTTATTATAATATGATTCAAAATATAGTTTCTTTTCTCATAACCACTTTCCTTATGGCATTGATCAAGACATTAGGTTAGCCAGTCAGATACCACAATGATTTCAACTTTTTAAACTGTGTGCTTCCAAAAAACTACTTGTAAAGAAGCAAGAATAAAATGAACTGTGTGGGTTAAGTATACCCTGAAGTATCAAACCTCATGTTGTTAGTTTATCCATTCATTCATTTGCATAACAGTTTATGAAAACTATCCAGGGCAAATACAAATAAAGGATCTCGCCTTCGTGAAGGTAAAATGCTGAAAACTCTGATACTCTTAGGAAGATATGAGTTAATATAATTTGCTAGAGCAATGCCATTGGGGTCTTCATTCCAAGCATATTCAGGGATTTCCATTTTTAGAGAAATCATGGTTGCCAAAGAATGCACCTGGAATATATTGCTACGATAAATGATTACCTCCCACCATAAATGTGTTGTAACCAACAAAATATAGTCAAATACTAGGAAAAATGATAAATGCAATATAATTGAAGTAAACCAGCTTACTCCTTTATCTGTTCGGCTACTTCTAGCCCATGCAATTTTATTCAAATTCCCAAAATTACTGTCTCGAATTCCACCGGCCTTAAAAATAGCCTTTTCAAGTTCTGCTTCAATGGCTACATGGCAAAACTGTAAAGCTTTAGCAAAATCCCCTCCATGCTAGCTAGGCTGATAAATTTTTAATGTAGTTCCTATTGATGCTGTAACAAATTGGATGGGGATCCAAGTAGCACAACTATTCATTAAACAAAGTTCTGAGCAACAATCTTCTCTCTATTAGGTTGATAGAATGTATTGTTCTCATACATATTATAAGGTATGGAATCAACCTTCTATCGGAGCATAACAAGAAAATGATAATTTCTTGTGTAATCTCCATTTCCAAAAGAGTAGAAGTGTAAAATTTAGAGTATGACAATAGCAAAACATCATCGTTGAGTTAGATCGTTTAGGAAGAAGCGAAGGCCTATACTTGGCAAACAACCATGAGAAGGTTACATAGGGTGCTTGAGTGCACAAACTCACTGAACTTAAGACAACCCACATGGAGAAACAAAATTCAGATCATTGACACCAATGTTAATGAGAAACAATCCACACAGTAGGAATATAAATCAACATGGTTGCGGCATCTCAAACAGGATAGTATACCAAACTCATGTTCGACAGATACTATAAAAGAAACCATTAGGGTGGTTGTTTGATTGTGCGTGTGTTTGCAGAGAGTGAGTGAGAGTGAGTAAGAGAAGGGTGGTGAGCCTGACTTTAGGCTATTTTGATTCTGGGTAATGAAAAGCTCAGCTCAGCCAAACCCCATTGGACAAATAGCTTGGTTCAGTAGAAATGTTTGTTTTATTGCTTAGTGATTCCTATTTAACTTCTCTTTCCTACTTTTTTCAACAATTTATTTCATTTTCTTTCTAGAACAACTCCTTCATCAAAACAAAAAAGAAGGGACGAATAATAAATGAATGCCAGAAAAAATAGCATCTTACTGGAAAGAGAGTGCTCATCTCTTTGCAATTGTAGTCCTACAACAAAAATTCAAAAGACAAGAACAAAATAAGAAACATTACAATTCAAGTTGGAAACACAATACACAAAATAAATAAGAATAGAGGGAGAGTAAAAGTCACCTCTGTAGTCTGTACCGACGTAGCCGACGCGCATTACGACTTTCTTCTTGCGGAAAGATTCCCATTTGTCGCTGGTGAGGTTAAGGGAAGGGTTAGGAGGGTCTGGCGCTGAGGTTTGGGCTGTGGTGGTGGTGGTGGGCTGCAATGAAGGGGAAGAGCAGTGTAGTCTTAGAGGTATATTGGCAGCTGGGAAGAGGAGGGTTGGTGTTGTTTTTGCTATCCATGGGCAGAGTCGAAACCGTAGGGATGAGATGGCCATCAATGTCGACGGTGCAAGAGTCTGATAATCCAAACTGTTTATCGTGTTGGTCAGTCTGACAACTAAAGAAGGATAAATTACACTTTGACCACCTTAACTATGACTCTTTTTCATTTTACCCCAAAATTATCATATATTTCATATTATACTCTTAATTATGTGATTCGTTTCATATTACCCCAATATTAACATTTGTGACATGTCTAATGAAAAGTTATTTCTTTTTGCCCTAAAACTATGTAATATATTAAATAAATAATAATAATTAAAAGGATAAAGTATAATTTACCCAAATTAGAAACCTTCTCCTCCGATCAATTGTAGATTATACAATTGGCCCAGAAATTATACCATATGTTTGGACAAAGCCCTTAAATTTAACTTTGTGTCAATTGAACCCATCAACTTTAGATATCGAAATTGACCTTCTGTCCAATAGCCGAAACCTAGGTATTACGGTGGTGGAGGATGCTTGCAAATAAAAAAGGGGGAGGTTCAACCTAGACACTTTTAAGGCGAGAGGCCCATAAAATATGTAAATTGACAAAAATATCCTTAACGAAGGATGTTATTTAAAAACGTTCACCATATCATATTCTTTTATTTATTATTATTATCATCATCATCCCACCGCCATTCGCCACCCACACCACCATTACTGTCACCCACCACTACCCAACAGCATCACTCACCATCATCACCACTGACACTGAACTAAAAACAATAAACTCCACGACAGTGAATTAAAAACACTCTCTCCATTTCTCTTTCTGAATCAATTGTTTGATATATGAAATTTAGATGAGATTTGATTATATTTTTATTAAATTTTTGAAAGATATTTTATTTAGATTGACAAATTTTGAATTATCTTACTCGTTCAATTATGTGAACTAAAGATAGTGAACTTAAGATAATGAACTAAAAATAGTCACTTTTGTTCTTTCTATGAATATGTATTTTGTTATATATTGTGGATGAACAAAAAGGTAAATTTTTTAGTTCACTGTCATTGAGTTTACTGTCTTTAGTTCATTGTTGGTGGTGGTGGTAGTGGTGGTGGTGGAGGATTTTTACGAAAGAAAAGCTAGATTTATCCATTGTTAAAAAAAAAGAGTATTTTAACTAAAAGAGTGTATTTTATGTGAGAACTCAATCTCATATCGACTAAGGGGTGGGACGAACGGAGGACATACGGGTCCCCTTGGCTTGCCTAAATGGGATACAATATTAACTATTATTGAAAACACTTTTTAATATTTTATTTAATTATTTTTTTGTCATTACTTCTATATTAAAATTTTAGTTGCTAAAAACCAAAAGGCTCCAACGGCTAGTATTCCAACAGTCATTTTTTAAGTTATTATCTAATTAAATATAGGAGTAATTACAGATTATTAAACACCTATATTATAAATATATATAGAGAGAGAGAGAGAGAAAAATATACAATATGATATCTACTATCTCCCTACTATATAAGGCAATACAAAAAAGGTGTCGTGTGAAGCTTCTGTTTCATTCAATTCTGCAAATCCGAGTAAAGCAACAATTAATAGGCTGGATTGTTTGTATCCTGGGGACGTCATGTTTTACCTTCTGCACTGTGGTTCTTACATAAAAAGGTGTGAATCGTCTTAAGAGAACGATCTAATCTGTGCCTCATGACTTGATCCGATATATGTACACCCAAGTGCTGGCGGTCAAGTTGTAGTAATAATCCGATTAAGTCCGGAGTTGAATCCATAGGGAACTATGATTAGTGTTTTGAAGTAGTAGTGGCAATGACCAAGTACTGGAATCCTTGAGAGTTTGAAGTTATGGGATTTCCTGTATAGAATATAAAATTCTTTCCAAGAGTTTTCTAGACTAAATATAAGATAAATTCAAATGTAAAACAATCACCCTTTAGCTCAAAGATCAGAACATATAGTTAATCATCTGGTTTGTTATACTTGTGCTAGATAACTCAATTAACTCCCGTGTTAACAACAAGTTAATTGGAAGATAAAAATAAACTGTGAGAATTAAGCACATGATTCCGATATCTTTTTAGAAGTTTACAAGAATTGTTTGTGCTGAGACTCAACCCGTCTACAAACAAGCAAGTATTTCTACAAGGTATCCAACCATGACATTAATGTTCCATTCTTTAGATAAAGTGCAATTTTGGTGAAGATTGAAAGGTTGTCATGAAAATCTAACCGGGGTACTTGCCTTGAATCATCGGACCTTTCTATGCAAGAGTCATCCGTGGCATAGAAAGGACACATGGTTATAGAAAATACCTTAGCTTTGCTAGATACATTCAATCATTCAATAAGTGAAATATAAAGCATTAAAACATAAAGAAAATGCACAAATATAACTTCTGGATAATCACTACATGTTCATCATCTCTTACTAAAGAGTTAATGAGGAACTAATCACTCTTCATGGCTTGGATAAAGCTAAAAAAGTGAGTGATGCTCATCCCTCCAAGTAGAGAACTTACAAAGTAAAGTACAATAAACAAAGAGTTGTTCTTCAACGAAGAATAGGTGAATCACGTTCCATCTTTCATGGCTTTGGTAAAGCTCTAGAAAAATGGAAGAGGTTCACTCTTCTAAGCAGGAAGGAAGCTCAAGTATTGGAAGTAAAATAAAAGAACATTGAAAGTAGAAGAAAGTTAGTTACTCTTGGAGAGTGACTTCCTCAACCAAAAGATGGAGTGTTGTTTCCTTAACCAACAAGTGGAGGGTTGCTTCCTCAACCAACAAATTGAGAGTTGTTTCCTCAACCAAGAGATGTAACACAAGAAAATATAACATACATCTAAGATTAATAAAGTGAGTGAGAGTCTAAACCTCCATACAAGATCCTTACTAAGTCTTGTTGTAGTCTAAGCCTACAAACCAAGCTCTAGCTCCTTACTTTACAAGAGAGGAAAGTTGCCCCCTTTCAAGCTCCCTTAATGGAAGTATTTATAGGCAAGGAATGGGAGGGGGGAAGATAAGAGAAGATGAATGAATAGTGTATGCTGCCCAAGTCTAAATGAAAATCAACTACTCTACAGGCAGTCTGTGGAGGACGTTCAAATGTGAGTTGACGTTCGAACGTTGTCTTCATTTTAGCTTTATGGACGTTCAAATGTTGTCTTCTGTCTTTGCTTTAGAGGCGTTCGAATGCCAGATGAGGTTTTACCATCTCACTCAAGTGGTTTGTGGTCTTATGTGGAAACTCACTTCCACACTTCATGCATGTCTTGGCACTTTGCACCATCATCCGGGTGTTCAGTCACTTCAAGTCAACGTTCGAACGTGAGTTGGCATTCGAACTTGGTATTCAAGTACCTTTGGTCTTCCTTTGGACTGCAACATGTTCTGCCTCCGCATCCTGATCTTTTCATAGTTCAAGTTGACGTTCGAACGTGAGTTGGCAGTCGAACGTCCTTGCTTTGTTCCAAGCTTCTCAAATTTTGTCCCTAAATGCACTGGTGTTACACTCAAGTGTGATATTTGTTGTTCTTGAGCTTTTGTTCACTTTAGGTCCTGATCACTTAAACTTCATCAAAGTACAATTATTCTGAAAAAGGCATAGTAAAATTCTAACTTTATGCACTAATCACCTCACCCTACCATTCACTTCATTTTTTGCATCCCATTTTTCCAACAATTTTAAGAGATTTTCATACCTGATGGAGAATTCTGTGATAGTCACTTCTACTATTTCATTTGCTCGATCCAATGATCTTAATAAACTGTTTCGATTCAGTTGAAAATTCTTCAAAAGATGGGCGAAGAAAGTTCTATTATATCTCAAATTATTGAAGGTTGCAAGGATTCTCACTACAAAAAATCCAAAGAAGGTGAACAAGGAAGATATGACTGTAGAAGATTTAGCAGATCATGAAAAGAATATAGCAATATAGGAGATTGACGAAGATAATTGTCGCAATTATTTGCTTAATTGTCTTTCTAATGAGCTATATGATTATTATTCCAATTCGTATTTTTCTACCAATAAGATATGAAAAGTTTTGGAGGGGAAGTACGACACAGAAGAAGTAGGGACAAAAAAATATGCTTGTAGCTGTTATTTTAAATTTCAAATGATGGAAAACAAATATGTAATTGCTCAAACACATAAGCTACAAATGATTTTTCATGAAATTGTGTCTGAAGGAATTAAGGTGGATGAACAGATGCAAGTTGCAATAGTTATCGACAAACTACCGGATTCATGGAAGGAGTACCAAAAGGAACTTCGTCACAAGCAATCAGAATTAAGTATGGTGAATTTAATGGCTCGACTTGGAATTAAGGAGGAGGCCAGAAAACAAGGGTCAAAATAATAGAAATAGTGCCTATTTGAAGCCTAGAGGTAATAACATGAAAAAGTTTAATAGAGCTTTAAATAAAAACCATTTTCAAAGAAATGGAACCAAGGACCCCCTTCCAAATAAGTACCATATAATAAAATAATCAGTCAAATAATGGTGTTTGTTTTGTGTGTGGAAAGTCTGACCATTTTGCTAAAGATTGTCGTTTTAAAAAATGTGGTTGTGCTCCTCAAGCTAATATAACTGAGGAACCATTTTGTAGCCATGATTACTGAGGTTAATTTTACTGAAAATAGTGAAGGATGGTGGACAGATTTTGGAGCATCCAGGCATGTCTATCATAATAAATCTTGGTTCAAGTTTTTCTCTCCCATTGAAAGTGATAAAAAATGTTGCTTGGTGATTCACATACTATAAGTGTTTTGGGCATGGGAGGTGTCCAACTCCAATTTACCTTTGGCCGAGTTTTGACTCTAAGAGATGTTTTTTCACAATTTTGAAATCAGAAAGAATTTGGTTTCTGGTTATCTTTTAAATAAGACTAGTTTCAAACAAACCATAAAATCTGATCAGTTTGTTTTGACTAAGAATAAGTCATTTGTTGGTAAAGGTTATGCTTATGATGGTATGTTTAAGTTGAATGTTGAAATAAATAAAACAACTTCTTCCATTTACATTGTTTCTTGTGTG